ATATATATATATATATATATATATATATATATACTAAACTATTTCCTAAAAAGGTGGAGAATGGTAGGTAAATAGTTGTGAAGAACTTAATTATTTAAATCAGTAAACCAATGCAGTCGTTTTTTTTTTTGTTTTTTTTTTAATTTGCTGTCGGAGAACTGAAGGATGCAAAATACAGTACAATACTGTATGTACAATCCATTGGCATCAGAAGCATTCGTAATGTGGGGGGGACACACTGATGGCGGTGTCTGGGGGTCCTCCCCCAGAAAAATTTTAATAGATCCTATTTCCTGCATTCTGATATATTTTAATGGAATGCTAAACATCTACGTTTACCTACATAAGTAAACACTTGATTCAATAACTGTTTTAGAGAGCATGGCACAATGCTCTGCCGGCACTAACGTAGTGCTAAGCTAGCAGCGTGCGATACAGACAAGCTATCTAAGATGTTACAAATGTAGTGCTTTGCTTCTCTCACACATCCTAACACCCCCCACACACACACCACCACAACCACCACCACCACCACCACCCCTGTCAACAACTGCTTACACTAACTTGGAGAAGGGGTTCTCTGTGATCAGGTGTGGCCCTTGATACACCTTCCTTTGGGAACACCTATTCATCTGCAGAGATACCTACTTGGCTAACTTGGCACTAAGCTAGTGTGCAGAGATGCCCCCTCCCTCAAGTGACCTACATGAAACACATGCAGTGTGGTGAGTTGTTGTAGTTAACTATAACCTGATGTTTATTTTTGAGTGGTTTGAGTATACTATTAATCAAGTGGAATGGATTTGTTCACAAAGAAATAGAAACAGCACTAAACTAATATTTCATGGTAAATGTGTGCATATGTGTGGGTGGTAGTTTCCAAACAAATATATTTTTTAATGTGAGGGGAACACATCCCCTTCACATATAATTGTTGTGATGCCTATGGTACAATCCCATAAAAAGCAAACACTGGCGTGTACACAAACACTTTTCTCTTAAAATGAGCATTTTTAAATATTAATACTCAACATTATTAAGATCAGTCAACATGGCATTAGAATCAGTAAAACAAAACAAATGTCTTGCTAGGTTAGCCACTGACACAAAGGTTAGAACAAGATAACAAAAGGCAGGGTTCCACTTGGGTGGTAGAGGTCCATCTGTTGGTACCTTTAGCACAATGGGGTGTTGCCAACACATTTTGTGTCGAGGACAGGTGGTGATGGGGGGGTGATGGTGTGACAAACATGACTGGTTTGTAACGACCACTGAGTTGGATCAAACTGACCCAAAATAGAGGAAGTCTACAAGTCCTGGCCTCAACCCTGCTTCAGGCTGCACAGGGAGGAGGAGGTGGTGAGGGAAAAGGGAGAGACCATCATGTAGAACAACATGACGGGGTCACAGAGTGGAACCAAGCTGGGGAAGTGTGGGAAATGTGCAGATGAAGAGTTGAAGACACTTTCAAGAAAACAACCAACATAAAATTGGTTTTAATGGCAAAAAAAATCAATGACTGTTGCATCTCTTTCATATTTAAAGTTGATTGATTGATTGATATTTTTTCTATATGCTTAAAAACCTAAATAAACTAATGATTTAAGAGTGCTAGGTGGATTGTGAAATTATAATTTTTATTCAGGTAATTTAATGATAAAGCTCATGTGTTTGGTATATGTAATTAAATTAAAAAAACTACATTTACTGTATAAGAAAAAGTGTACATTTGAACAGAAAAGTGGGACATTTTTTTGTATAAATTTTACCAAAATCAAAGAAATCAATCATCTCTAAGCACTTTTGTATCCCCAAAGGATTTACAAATACGCAAAAAGTCAAGTTGAAATGCTACAATAATGCTATAATAATAATAATCTATAAAATTCCCTTAAAATACAACTCTGAATAAAAATATCCATCTAGTTTTCTGATTTGTTTCACTCACCTATTGCAGCTTTCACCTCCACAGGCTCTGATATCTGGGAGAACTGGCTGAGTCCTGCTGCGTTCACTGCCCTCACCCTAAACACATACTGCTCACCTGTGGTCAGCCCATGGCAAATAAACCTGAAAGTCATTTAGACCACACTTATAAAGTATAATTGTCTGTATCAGAATTAGATAAAAAGAAAAGAACAAATTATTTCACCTGGTGCCCTTTACAGGCTTGTTGTTGCATGGCCCCCACACATTGCTTCCCACCACACTGGCCTCAATGTAATACCCCACCAAGTCTTTGGCATCACTGGATGCTTCCCAGCTCACAACAACAGATGTGTCTGTGTTTCGAGTGGGAACAACCTTTCCTGGAGCAGATGGAATATCTGTGGAGAAAAGCATACGAATATTTTTGCCTCTGATAGAAAACATACAATGCCACTGCTCCAAGTATGATTAATCTGTGTATAATATTTGTACACAAATTTCAGACTAAGTAAATTGAGTAAGTTACACAAAAAAATCCCTCAATGTTTTACTGTGAACATATTAAAACATATCCACTTCTATGTGGTGGACTTGGTAGGCAGGTTGCTTTAAAATCCATCCATACATACATACATTATCTTTACCCACTTCTTCCTTTTTAGGTCGTGGGGTCACTGGTGCCCATGTCCAGCTTTCACTGTGTGAGAGGCAGGGGACACCCTGGACAGGTTGCAAGTCCATCACAAGGACACATAGAGACAAACAAGACAAACAACTATTCACTCTCACTCACACTTACTGACAATTAGAGTTACCAATCAGCCTAACATGAATGTTTGTGGGAGAAAACCAGAGTACCTGGAGAAAACCCACACATGCATGGAGAGAACATGCAAACTCCACCCAGAAAGGTCCTGGGCCAGGATTTGAACTGGCAATCTTCTCACTGAGAGGCAACAGCTCTTCCAATTAAGCCACAGTGCCACCCTTGCTTTAAAATGTCTTAGAAAATTTGCAGGTTTCTCCCATTTCTGATTCTCCAAATGCCTCTGCAGTCAGTCTAATGAGTCAAACAAAACAAAACAAAAAACACTTTTCATAGTCCTATATGTTTGTGTGGTTCTTCACCAAGTTTGTCCCCAACTGTGATGGCTTCAGTTGGGTCAGAAGGCTCGCCAACACCAGCAGAGTTGCAGCAGCGGACACGGAAGGAGTAGGATTTGCCCTCAGCGAGATCAAACAGTGCAAAGCGAGGAGACTTTACTGGGATCTCTGTGTTCACCCTCTGCCAGCTGTCTGTGCCAGAAACACACTGACATACACAAAGAGAAGGGCCAAATGGGTGTGAAACAACTCAATGTGCAAAAAAGAGGACAATGAATAACTCGTGTTAAAAGTTCACCTTTTCCACATAGTACATGACTCCTTCCAGGCCTTTCTCTCCAGGAGGCCTCCAGCTCAGCACCACATAGTTTTTGGTTGCCTCAGTCACCTGCAGCTCCAGAGGTCTACCAGGAACAACACTCTCTGATGGTCAAAAGATCAATTATCAACATCAAGTAAACAACAAAAAAAATGGACTGGCAGAACTGACTGATAATATAACTGTGATCTCGTACCAGCAGGCTCCTCCTCTGTGACAATGATTTGTCCGGTCCATGGAGCAGAAGTACCTAAAAATAAAATACAGTTAGCAGCTTCAACTAATTTACTTTCATCGTTTGTACTTACAAATTTTAAATCAGCAGAACTTTTTAATCTCAGTCAACATTTTGGATAAAGTGCAACCTGTCCAAACAAACATAAGTAAAAATAAATCCCAGAGCAGATAGCCAGGCTGCAGTACCTCTCATGCGGGCGCGATCAGCTGGGTCCATGGCAGCCACTGGCTCTGAGACTCGAGACGGATGGCTGATGCCGCTCTTGTTGACGGCACGTACACGGAAGGTGTAGGAACGGCCCTCCACCAAACCAGTCACAGGGAAACGGGCAAACTTGACCGGAGTGTCGTTGCATTGAAACCAGTGGGAGGTTCCAACCTCACACCTATTCGCAAACATTAAAATATCAATCGGTGCAACCCACCTTTTACAACTACCTGCTTCATGAAATGTTGCAAAGCAAGAAATCTCCAGTTATATACAGTTATCTTTTTCACTTTGATTGATGGGAAGTTATTTTTTCTTATGATGATAGCTTTCCCCTTAGTCTTGTACGTAGCTTTTAAATTATACTAAATTATGAACGAGTTTCATAAGGAAAATGTACTATGGAAATAAGGTTCTGGATTTATCAATCAATCAACCTTTATTTATACAGGTAAATCCCATTGAGCCTCAAGGACTCATTTACAAGAGAGACCTGAAAAACCATTGTAGGTGAGAATCTTATAAAAGGAGATATGGTAACATACAAATTGTTTTTTTTGTAAGGAAACTGAAGTAAAATTGGTGAAATCAATTACTGGCCTGTCCACAAAGTAGCCCAAGATGGTGTTTCCTCCATCGACAGCTGGTTGCTTCCAGGTGACAATAATGTAATCCTTGTTGGCGTCCAGACAGTGGACATCCAGAGGGGCTCCAGGTGCTCCTTCCACTTCAGCATCAGAGTCTAACACAAACAACCTCATCAGAATGGTCAGCATGGAAACTCTTTCTACACATTTCTGCTGGAACTCCTGTATGGAACATGTAATATTTCATTTTTTGTTTGACATTTAACAAAAGCTATACTCATCTGGTTTGATTAGGAATCGTTAAACCAGATCTAACAATAGAAAGTGTATAAGGTAAAGTTTGGACATTCTTGCTCAAATTGTTGTTTACTTTGAACAGGTCAGTGAGTAGAGCTGCTTCAGAATATGGCTACTATTTTATTTTCATAGAAAATTCTTAATTTTTTTATTGTAAAATGGAGAAAACCTAAAATGTGACATGAGGTATGGACTTTTTAAGAGATTTTTAGCTCCACCAACTTCTTCCAATTTATTTATCAGACACTATTTTCCTTTTATAGGAGGTAAACTATATTTGTTGGCTTGAAGTCTCCTGAATATAGGACCAAACTCTGTTTTGATCCTGAATCCTCTTAGACTAGTATAACTGCAGTCAGGATCAGGGAGATTTTCTCTGCTGGGCAACCCTGAGCTAAAACAAGGCAAGCAATTCTGCCTCTTCATCCTCATCATAATTCCTGTGTTGAAGCTGGACCCACAAATGTCAGATTGTCTCCAAAGGCAGCAAAGATAAGCTTGACCAACCACTTTTTCCATGGCACGCAAACAGATGCCAGGGCCTTGCCTCTCACTGGTGCCTCCATTTGAGATAGCCTATTTAAAACCCCTCTGACATTCATACCCTGATAAACTGAGTCATTATCAGGTGCCAGAGTGACGTGCTGTTGTGACTGTGACCTTGTTCTCATAAGACAAAAACAAAACAAAAGAATTCACTTGTGTTGACTATGACTGCAAGTATATAGGTCATATATCTGAATACCATGGGTTGGAGTTACTGGATATTTTTGGATTGTCTGTGTAAATTAAAGGAGATTCCCACCTCTGACAAACACGTAGGCTGAATAGGTTTCATATCCAGACTTGGTGGAGACTCGCAGGGTGTAGAGTCCCTCATCCTCTTTGTTGAGATGTGTCAGTGTTAGTGTGGCTCTGTCCCCACTCCAGTGCATGTGGGTCCACTTGGAGGAACTCAGCAGAACATCTGAAATATACATTGGAGAATGTATAATGACATTTTAGTTAGCTTCTGCTGCTATTTGTATCTGTATTTCTATTTTATGTTTTCCTGTCTGCTGTGCATGTTTGGTTCTTTTGTACAGCACTTTGGTTGGCCTTGTTGCTGTTTTAAGTGCTTTATAAATAAATTGGTATGGTATGGTATTTTCAGAAAACAAATCTGCACACTGCAAACATTGCGTTTTGTCATATGGCAGGAATTGTCTACCTACCGTCTCTGTACCATTGGATTTCAGGCTGGTAGCGGTGCAAGGCAGGGTAGATGATGACCGTGCACCCCAGACTCATGGTCTCACCCTCTCTTCCAAATGACACCCCAAACTTATCGACAATGTGAATCTGGAAGGTGATGCCATACTCGGAAACTGGACCAACTGAAGACAAAGCAGTAAAGTCATACAATTAGCTGAAATGATGCTTCGCACAAAACTGTGCTTTATGAAAATTTGACAAATGGAAAAACACTACTGGGACCACTTAACTGGACTTTGCACTTTAAATGAAACATCATAATCCCAAGAAAGAAAAAAATATAATAATAACAAGATCAAAAGAAGGAAAGATTAATAGATTTGATGGAAGGCAAAAATGCTAAAAGTTAAACAGTAACATCAGCACAAACTTTACAAAATAATCAGAAAAATACAAATTATGTAAAAACAATGAAACTCAACAAACTCATAAAATGATGATTTAAAACCTTCTATATTCATTTATTTAGTTGATAAAATGAGCTGAAGGATCCACCAGGATCTTGTTGTGATTTTTGAGAGTTTTAACAATTAATTCTGAATTAAGCAATAATACTAAATGCTATAATAATATTATATATAATTATAAATATGATCAGAGCGCTGACTGTTATAGATACCAACTAGACAAAGATGCATTAAAAAATGAATCTACTAACTAAGGTTGCTGTGTAAGAGGAACACAAAACTACTATATTTCATGAAAAAATGCACAGCCCTCCATTCTTCAGTCACAGGAGAATATGATCTAATGAGGCTGAAAAAAATATCACTCAGAAATGCTAAAATAATCTATCAGTCTGGCTGAAATATAGCAATTTCCAGAAGACAATGTAAAAAAAAAAAAAAAAAACTGGTCACACATGGAAATCCAATGGAACAAGAATTGTGAATCATCCAGTTTGGTTATCTTTGCAATACAATGTGTTTTGGTACTTCAGTTGAATAGTTGTGCTCCTGGTTTTGCTCTTATACCTTCTTGGCCACTAGATGTCCTCTAAAGATCATATTTCCTGTCCCTCAAACGTCACCTTTTATCTGTTAGTAAATCAGCACACTTTTACAAGTACACCTTTTTCCAGTCTTTTCTCAAACATTTGTTTACATCCATCTATTTTGTCATTTGGAGTTTCCCTGCTTGCTTTTGTTTTTCGTAATTAAAAAGATTTGCTGAGGTTTTGCACCTGCTTCCTTTGCTCCTGCGTTTAGATCTTTGCATCTCACCTCATGAGATGCCCTTTTTAAAACAGATTTCTCTGAGTCTGTAATTTTCATCAATGGTATGTGATTTGTGAGAAAACATAAAGGGTACTGTAACGAGACCCACTGTTCTCACTCACAGCACTCTGTTTTCAAGTGAAGTCAGTCATGTTTGACTTAACGAAAACATGATAATGTTCGTACTGTTCATAAAAAAACAACTAAAAACATTATCATTGCCACATCATTATTTAGCTCAAAAAGTGTATAGAAGTAACTGTTTGTTAGGACAGACCTGAATCAAAGTTGTTTTGCTTTATTGAGCTTCCTTTACTGTTAGCAACTTTGGTATGTTATTAGCTTTGCATACTCATATCTAATACTACTGTATTTCAATAGTATCTAACAATAGTCTGAAGAACATGAAGTATGGATAGGGGAATCATTCTTGAAAAACATGGTTTTATTCAGCAGTGTATGTCTGTTTTCAGCAAAGTTCTTAATAAACTCTATTGAATGCAATGTTCTAAAGAGCTTTTACTCACAGGCAAAGTTACCGTTTAACTTTTTCAGAATCCTGAGCTTGACGTACAGATGCAGTATAGAAGAAGAGGACCAGTCACGTCCAAATTAAGACAAAATAAGTATTTTTCTCAATTAACTTCTTTTAATAAATGTTATTGATGCTTTACTTTATTTAGTTTCAGCATTAACCAAAAAAATGCAGGTTTAAACTTGTTTGGAAGTGTTTTACCCTTAACGTCTTGACAAAAACTGACAGCAAATTCACTTACGTCTGGGTGCTGGCAGCGACTCATCAATGTCACCTTTGAACCCTGTGGGAAAAAAGCCACTGTTACTATTTATACTTACAGTGCACAGTATTGTATGACATGTGGGGTGGACTGAATGTACAGTATTTTATTATATGATATGCAACATCACATAAAGCAGCTTTGAATGAACCAAACTTAAAAAAAGTATTTTAAAAGTTATTTCAAATAATTTTGCTATCAGTAAAGTAAGGGTTTTGTTGAGATTTAGTAAAACATACGTTTGACAATGACAGAAGCAAATGCAGACAGTTCTCCTTCTGAGTTCATGGCAGAGACACGATACTGGGCCGTGTCATCAAAATCACATCTGAAAGAGATCATCACCTGATCAATGCTATTAATCAAAATCTGTCATTAAGGATCCACATATATATTATGCCCTTTCCACACCTTAATTACAGCCTCTGCCCCTTGACCATGTTTATAATGCCAACTATGTGGGCCTCAACCCTAAAGCATTCAAAAAATCTGAGCCAGGAATAGTCTGTCAATAAATAGACACCACTGGTGATGTCATTTCCACCAGGTGAAGTGGATCAAAGTAACTGAAAATATCTGATGGGTGAAGGATGGCAGGAACTGAAATAAGCACACCCAAAATTGGAGAACAAACAAAACAGCTTACATAATCTGAGGAATGTTTTTTTCTGAGAGGAACAAATGTGTCTTTTGACATTTACTAGACCACTTCAAGATCTGGGCTATGTAGACATTTACTGTGATTTACCAATAAATACAAGTAATCTGAAAAGTAGATTCAGTGGATGTGTTATTTGGTGCTTACAAGCCTTGTTATTTTTCTTAGATTTGAGTCTGTACTGAATATTTGCAGTTATGTGATGGACTTGAAACATGTCCAGTTTTTAACCTGCCACTGCACAGTGACTGCTGAAGATAGGTACCAATGCTTGCAACCCAGAAAGAAGCGGGTGAAGAAAAGGGATGCATGGATGGACTTTTATAATTTGCCAAAGACAGTCATGGGGCTTAGTGAGGAAAGTAAAGACAGTGTATTTTTAGCGTATCAGTGATTTAATGGTGGTTGTATATTTTTCCATCTTAACTTTCGAAAGCTTCTCCATTTTAACATGATATGTGTAACTTATTATTAGTAACATGACAGGGATTGTATGTCTGAACTTCAATGGCACATCTAAACTCTAGAAATCATACAAGTAAAAATATATAGTTTCATTTCATAAATTAAGTGAACGTGGTTGGTTGGCTGCATATTTTTTTCTAGATCTACAAAAATATTCATGATAATGTCATTAAAACAAGTATTGCATTTAATAAAACTTACTTGTTGATCTCCAGTGAGTGCACATTGTATCTGCTCTCAAGTTTAAACTTGCCAGGGTGGGCAAGAGGGTCAATTGCCACATTGTTTTTGTACCTTGTGATTGATAGAAAAAATGACAAGAGAAAACAGATAAACAGACAGAAATAAAACAGAAAAGATTTGAGGAGTATATAAATGTGAATAAGGAACATTTTGAAAGGAAGAGCAGACTTGTGTTGTAGGTGATATATATATGACGCACCAGATGACCCTGGGGTCAGGCCAGCCGCTGACGGTGCAGTGCAGCCGCACACACTGCTTCTCCCACACGGTGTGGGAGCGAGGTTTAATCACAAACTCTGGGGGGTGCATCAGACTGTCTTCGTTCATGCGCTTGAAGTGTTCCTCGTGCTCATGGATCTAAACATTGCAGATTACAGCACTTAACATAATGTCACATTGTCCCCACTAAACATTTAAACCAAATAAAATAAACATGCCTGCAGTGAAACACAGATTTTTCAGACATAAACACAGATAAGTCCTTGCCTGTTTTTGTTTTGCACATGCAAGACACAGAGTATGCAGTTTCTGCATGCGCTTGAAGCCTTTGTGTTTTCATTATAGTCTATGAATAGCCACAGGGGTGTGTAGTTGTAGTCAGTCCAGATCTAAATATGACAACACCACTGGGACACTACTTCCATGTGTATCAAGAAAAGTAACCTCCTCAAGAATTTGTCACCCACTAGTGAGGCTGTCTGGCAGAAGACAGATAAATGCAGCAAGGGAGGCAATTGTGGCTTCTATGAGGATTGTTAAATGACAGGATGGTACTTCACATAACCACCCATGAACATAAATAACTTCCTCAAGTAAAGTGTTGTAATGCAAACCAATTATTCAAATGCACTCAACTTCTGCTCACTACAATAAAAAGGAAGGAAAATAGTATGCACAAGTTTTGCAAACAAATATCATGTTGAAATTATATATATATATATATATATATATATATATATATATATATATATATATATATATATATATATATATATATATAAGACAATGGGCACCAGTGACCCCCGCGACTCAAAATAGGAAGAAGTGGGTAAAGATAATGGATGGATGGATAGATATAAGACAATAATGGGGTTTTGTAAAAGAGAAGGGTATAGAAGTGTACTAGCAACAAAGTAGATGTTTTATTCCCTTCCACATAAACCAGGTTGACCTGCAGCAATTTTTTCAGCAGATCAAGTCAGTCTCTGGTTTTGTAACCAGATCTGTTTGCTGATTGTTTAAACATGAAAGTAATTCATTAATGTAGTAATAGGGCACTGTCTTAGATACAGTCAATCAATGAGAATATGAAGAAAGTTGTTTGTAACATTGCCAGCCATGAGTGCTTTACAATGATTTCACAGCTGGGATAAGTCTGCAGATATTTGTAAATATGCATCAAATAACTATTTTTACAGCACCTGCATTTGAATAATATGTTCATATTTCTAAAGCAGATAAACAAGTAACTACTGACAAAATGTTGCATAAAGTTGCATAAACCACCCTTTTGGAATTATCTAATGAATCAATGTGCTGTAATTAATTTATTTTCTATCTTTGCAATCTAAAATTTCTCCACTCCAACTCATTCACTTCATATCCACTCACTCACTGAGCTCTGTGACTACCTCCCTTTGGTGGATCAGAAGAGGAACAGCAATGGATCCACAGACTTACCTCTCCCCCCCCCCCCCCCCCCCCCCCCCCCGCCCGCCCACACACACAAACACATGAATGCCAATAGTATAAGCTAATTGAGGACCGTGGTTTTGGTCCCCAGTTGCCAAGGTGTCCCCAAATGACTGGAGTGTGAGATGGTTTAAGTCCCCAAATATAACATAAACAAACTCACACACACACACAAACACATGCGTGCGCGCGCATTATAGTTCAGTCATTTCACACATTACAAATATGCAAAAGCATTTTGGGACTGACTTGAAAGCTTTTTGTGAGACAATCTATAGATGTAGATGCCTCCTCTGTACAGGTAAAAACCTTGACTCAAGACAAACGCTCAAAAATAGTAATCAAGACAATGATTTTTGTTTGTTTGTTTTGATGAATGGGCTGTATATATTTTGGCTGCACCAAAAATCTAGCAAATATAATCCTTTAATAGTCAATATGTTTACTGAATATTTCACTTCTATTGAACAAACACTTATGCTGGATGCCATTTGCTCGTGGAAGACAGAACGTATGAGTTCCAAGGAGTAAATAACAACTGGAATGCCCCCAAAGTCAGATTTAAACTAGGAAATTTAAAGTTTTTTTCACCTATCCTGACCTTAAAATCCAATATGGCTGCCTCACACATAATAAGCAGTGATAGCTGCAACAAAAAACTAGTGATTTGCATCTCTTCAAATAACTATACAAACTATAAAATCGAAAAGTGAACATAACACCAGTGACTGGATGAAAAAACACTGAAGACAAAACATTGTGTGAAATTCAGTTACCAGCTTGTGTTGCTAATCATAGTTAGCCTTGATACTGAACCCAAGCAATGACCATTAGTAGCATTTCTACATTATCATAACTAACACTGAAATTAGAAACTGACCCTTTTACTCATAGAGATGCGCTCAGCTGACTCACGCATGGCCTCCTTCCTGGAAATGACCTCTGACCTCTCCATCTCCAGGCCACTGGTAAACAAATTCCTGCGGGCCATGTATGCAGCAGTGCCTCTCACTCTGGCTTCTTCTGTATCTGATAATCCTGTAGCAAACTCTTGACTATAAGAGTGTCAGCAGAGAGAAGCCAGGGGTGGATTTGGAGAGTAAGACATGTCATTAAAACTAAAATGGCTATAGTATTAGATAACTTTTTTTAATTAACAGCTCTGTGTGGTGAACATTTTGTTACCTTCCCCTGAAGATCGGCACTACGTAGCCAATTATTTGGTTCTCTTTGTCCACAGCCAAGTACGATGGCTTGGCTCTCTTGAGCAAGGGGCTTTCTCTGCTCCCTTCTAGTCCCAAGTGTGCAGACACGTTAAGTCTAAGGCATACAGAACACCATCAGCCTGGCACACAGTGCAATGTATCATAAACATATTGTATGTGAATAAAGGGAAAGGAAGTGAAGATTAGTTGTAGATTAAAAGAAAAAATGTGGAAATGTGTGTTATTGACACAATCTGTCCATTTGCTTGGATGGCATTAATCTGGCCTCCAGTTCTAATGTTAAAAATCTTGGTGTTATTTTTGATCAGGACATGTCTTTTGTCCCCCACATTAAAAACATTACTAGAACTGCCTTCTTCCATCTGCGTAATATCACTAAAATTAGAAACATCTTATCTAAAATGATGCAGAAAAACTGGTCCATGCATTTGTCACGTCTAGACTGGACTATTGTAATGTTTTATTATCTGGTTGTCCAAATACTTCTTTAAAATGTCTTCAGTTGATCAAAAATGCTGCTGTCAGAGTCTTAACTGGAGTTAAAGGGTGATATCATATCGTTCCAGTTTTAGCTTCTCTCCAATGGCTCCCTGTCAAATCCAGAAATGAATTCAAAATCTTACTTCTAACCTACAAAGCTCTCAACAACCTAGCTCCATCTTATATTACAAATCTTATTGTTCATATTTTCCTAACAGAGCACTTTGCTCTCAGACTGCAGGTTTACTTGTGGTTCCTAGAGATTCCAAAAGCAGAATGGGAGGAAGATCTTTCTGTTATCAGGCTCCTCTCTTGTGGAACCAACTTCCAGTTTCTGTCTGTGAGGCTGACACATTATCCAGTTTTAAGACTAGACTTAAGATTTTCCTTTTTGCTAAATCTTATAGTTAGAGTCGGCTTGGGTTTCCTGAGCTGTCTCTTAGTTATGCTGCTATAAGCTTAGACTGCTGGAGGACAAACTGATCACATTTTTTCCACTATGCCACTGTATTTACTTACTCTGCTCAACCTGTTTTGTATTTGTAATTATTTTTTATATCCTTGTCATGTGTTTTTGTCTTTCAGGTTCACCTGCACCTATATCTGGACCTGCCATTCTGTGTTTGTTTGTCTCTCCTTCCTGTCCTCTCAAACCCAGCCGGTCAAAGCAGATGGCCACTTGTCCTGAGCCTGGTTTTGCTGGAGGTTTCTTCCTTTTAAAAGGGAGTGTTTCCTTTCTGCTGTTGCCATTGTGCTTGTTCAGGATGGGAGACTGCAACAAAGTGAAGATTCAACGAGTCTGCTGGTTTCCTTAGATCAAGAACTTAACTTATTGGCTTTTCTATGTATATGAATGTTCCTGTGAAGTGCCCTGAGACAACTTTGTTGTGATTTGGTGCTAAATAAATAAACAAACTGAATTGAATTGTCTGTTTTCTTTGTGTTTCTGTTGTCTTTATTTTCCTTTTCTGCTCCTGGTGTTGTTTCTCTGTTTCCTGCCATTCTTCAACCACACTTCAGCCTGTCATCACTCACACCGGTTGCCAATCAGTAATTATCCCAGGTGCACTCGTCTCTCGCTCTACCTCTGCCTTATTTAAACCTCTCCTGTTCACCACAAAAATGTCTGCTCATTGTTCTGTTCAGCTACAGATGTCCTGGTCCTCCTCTGTCTGTCCTGTGCCTGTTTGCGCCCTGATCTGTCCAGTCGTGTTCTTGTCTGCCTCCTTATCCGCTTATCCGTTTAAGTTTTGCTGCCACGTCAGCTTTTGTTTTTTGTTGTTTTATAAATTACTTTTTAGTTAGTTCCTGCTGTCCTTGCCTGCCTGCATTTGGGTCTAAAGCCAAGGTGCACGATAGTTACTTTGGACCTCTTACAAGAATTGCAACTGGCAAAATAATACATTTTCTTCCATTGCAACACCATCATAGAACAAACTAAAATGCATATCCAAGATTACAATCACTATAGCCAAAAACTTAGTTTCTTTTTTCAATAAAAAAAAAAAACTAACTAAAAATATTAACATTAGAGATGTATAAATTACTCAGCTACTGACTAGAAGCGGTTGATTTTCAGCTTGACCAAGATGACTGGTGACAGGCCAATCTTGTGTTTATCCAGTTTATGAATGCACCATTAATAAGTTGTTTTCTTTTGACTGCTCCCTTCTTCACTGGGTTTAATAGAAAAGGTCAGGGCAGGGAGGTGATGGGGTGGCTGCCCTTATTCTCCTAAATATCTGGGTCAGTGCCCTCTTTGGCTCTGATTGTTTCTTGACTTTCTAGGATTGCGCTTGCAAAACAGGTGATGAAAAAGCTTGTCAAGAGTGGGTTATCCCCTGACATGAAACACGTAGGACCATAAATGCAGCTAATAATGGATTTATCGTAACCACCATGCTGGGTTAATCCTCATAACATCGCAAACCTTCTCTGCTTTCATTCTCCTAACCACATCACAGTTTTGGATGGAGATGAGCTGCTCTACTAACAACTAAGATCTGATGGTGTTAGTGAACTTAAGCCTCCTGACCTGTTCACACCTAACCAAGCTAGTGTGTTCAAAAACTGGTTAGGTTCAACTAGGATCAGTAAACTGTGTGCTTTGCTGTTCTCGAGATATGAAAAGCTCATTGAACTCCACCAAAAAGAATCAGAGACTCAGAAATAAGACAAAATCAATGACTCTACTACTTTTGTTGAAGCAGTTCAGTTGTTTTTGTCATTAAACCTGTATTTTCTTTTGTAAAGTTATGACACATTGAGGCACACAAAACACCTCACAATAAAATTACTCACTTTGGAAACTCTTCCCATTAGTCCAATACCTTCCAATGAACTAACCAGTCAGAAACAACTTATCTGTACTGGGAAGAGCCAAGTGTCCATCCCTATCACTGATTATGTACTCAGTCGTTGCATGCCATGGCGTTTTACTTGTTTGAGGGCGACTGTGTTAAACATGAGAGAGGTATCTTTCAGGCTGCATGCAAAGAGGTTCATGCATGATTCAAAGCATTTTTGAGTTGATATGAGAGCGGTGATCTTCGTGGTGTGAGGGTTCATCAAGGTGAGAACAAACTAAATAAACAGAAGAGTGGTAACTTTGTGTGAAGGAAATATGATCCAACATCTGTGACAAGGAAGTGTTCCAGTGGAGATGATGGAGAGGAACAGCTCTGTTAGGAAGGGGAATGTGTTAGAGAAGTAGTAGGGCCTTCTTGTGACAATTAAGTTGATGATGAGGTTAGGAGGTTCCCATCTTTATCTCCCCTTCCTCCTCCTCCTCCTTACCCCCTGCTCCTGCTGGTGGAGCTGGACGTGCTGCCAGCGAATCTGCTGCTGGACTGGTAGAGTCTCATTTTAGACTCTGCCTCCGAGCTACGGTAGCTACGATCATAGTGGCGATGGTGCTTCTGGTAGAAGGGTATAGATCCAGACATGCTGCAGGCCAACTCCGAGTACGAGCCCCAAGTTTCCTCTTGACTTTCTGTTTGTCATGTTAGTTAGTGTCCACAGAGCGGTTATACAGTTAACTTGATTATCAAAGCTTTGATTTGTACTTTTTCTGCTGAAACGAGAAAACAAGCTTCCACCATGAGAACATAAACATCAACAGTTTCTTTGTCAAAACTTGCAACATCAGAAACGACGACGTAAAATTCAGGCAATCAGGCAATTTCTCAGCATGCTCAGACAGACTTATGCAAGAGTACATCACATAGTACTCTTGTAGTAACCTACTTACCCTGGACTAAATCCCTCAAACTCCAACCTTCAAAGGAAATAAATGATCCAACTCCACTCTTCCAGCTTGATATCCCAGCTAACCCACAGGTAGGTGTGCACAGTGCTGCGGTCTACACAACCAAAATAATGTTGGTCCAGGCCAGAGTGTCCAAGCTGCAGTCACAGCCTTTTAAGGTGAGGGTGGGGATAAATATAGCTGAGAGCAGAGCTGGGGGGTCGAGTCAGCTACAATACTGCAACACATTTATGGCTTATTTTCATTTTTGTTTATCGCCTACCACCAAAGGTTAAAGGTGTCAGATAAAGTTTTTGCCTGTTTCTCTGTTTTACTGTTAGCAAAATATCTCATGAACTAGAGGACGGATTTCAATGAAAGTCTCAGAAAATAATTGTTGGATGCATTTGGAGTCAGACTGATTCAAGATGGTCGCCACATTCAATTGATTTTAACAAATGCAAAAATTGTGGCCACAGTCTATTTTACAAATATTGAACAAAAAGGTTGATGTGGTAGTAGCTGAGAGTCATGTCCATCGCATACGCCGAGCATTAACAGACATAGTAATCTTTTTCTTCTTCTTTCGGCTCTTCTCTCTTCAGGGGTCGCCACAGTGAGTATAGTAATGTGTGAAATTGTGTGTGACATCATTTTTCAGATTTGAATAAAATGCTAGTCTATAATGCTGTCAATTTTCAACATTCATTCATCATCACAGGTTGACCCCAGTGAGCCTCGGGGACTCATTTAGACCTGAGAGACCTGATTTTAACAAAGAGTGATAACAACAGAGGACAACAAAGACAACAATAGACAATCATAAAGGACGCATACAAAGTGAAAATCAAATGGTATTAAAAATGTAACAAAAAAACAGCTAGGTTGTAAGGCAGGGCTATTCAACAAAACTGCTCAGGGGGCCACAGTTTCTGAAAGCCAACAGCTCAGGGGCCGGACATCCAGCGATTAAAGTCATTATGTAAATAAACCAAAGTTTACAATGATCTGTTACCTTTTGTAAATTTGTTTATTTAATTGCATTGAATCATAAATGCAATAAACAGAATACAAAACTCAGAACCAATATATTTATTTATTTATTTATTTTAATGAAGTAGGTCAGATTTAAGTCACCGGCTCGTGGGCCACCAACCTTGTTTTAAAGAAAACTAAAAACATGAACATAAGCTGACATTTATCTAAAACTTATGAAAGGTGGTGGGAGATATGCTGTCTTTCAAATGATGCTAAGATTCATTTTGATTTTTATTCATACAACATGAACAAAATGATTTGTTTCTAGCCTGGTGTTTAAAACTGAAACATTAGTCCTTGGTTCTTCTTTATTCAGTCAGCTTCAATGAAGGGAGTGAAGTCACACAACTCTACTTTTAATGAATGTAGTCAAACCTGAACATAAATATTATATTATATTGTTTTTCCTGTTTGATTGATTGATCCCCATTGTATCCTGATTCATAAATGTTTAAAAAATAATAAATTTCTTCCTGATTTGCTCTTTGCCTGTAGCTCACACTACACCAGCCTTTGTTAACCTTCGAGAGCTTTTGTTCTGGTTTTTACTGGAGTGGCTTCAGCTGTGACTGATGCTAACTTTAGCTATGTTATTGTTCCTCCTTCGCATACAACACATGCCACTTACTGTCTCTGTCACTCTCTCTTTCAGCCTCAGCCTCATTTCTAAAAGCACACAAGTGTCCACAAGAGTCCAGCAGCTTAAATGACAGGTCACCTTTCCTGTTTCAATAAACCACCCAGCAGATCTGATTCAACTGCCAAACATATTTTGTCCTGGAAATTTTTACATTTGGATTTTCTCATGGCACCATTTCACAACATTTCCAAGGCATTTGAGGTTAACATTCCCCATTTCTGATCCACCATAGTTAATGAGCACATGACTGAAATGTTGTGGCAGCCGTGTGAAACGTGAGCCCAATAAGAGATGAGTCCATTATTATAGATAGAAGCCAATGGATGTTATTCAGCGTGGTCATGAAGATAAAGGACAGTTTATGATATACTAAAAGCCAGATGTTGTTATGCTGAGTAAATGCAGGTTAGACTTTTCCAATCAAATAATTATTCTATTGAAAACTTGAGGTATGCTTGTGCCCACTTGCTCAGATAACAACAAAGTCCATGCTCAATAATCCAGGGAATAATGTTGTAACAATTAGTCATCATTACCCCTAAAATTGATAAACGGTGCCAAAACAGCCAAACCAGAAGTGTAAACTCAGACAAGAAGACATCCTGTGTAATGTGGAGTGGCTTTTATATGTGGCACATAAAAATACTCACTGAAATTATAGACACATCCAGAGATATTTTTTCAATGTCATGTGTCCTTAATGAAGCAGCACCTTCTAGTGGTTAAATCTAGCACAGCGATTTCTTAGAAATGTAAATAATTGTTCTCTCCAGTTTTATGTCTCATAAAAATTAAAAAAATCTTATTATTTTCTCTAAAAATACACAAGTTGAAACCAAAGCACTTGTTGACTTGTGGTGTTATTTAAATGTAAAACATAAAAACCCTGCTTAAAAATAGTTATTTTGAGAACAATGTCCTGCTGTGAGAGTGGCTGGACTAATGGACATTAAAGACAGATGAGACTTGTTTTAACCAGTGAGTCAGCAACAATGATTGCAGAGCCAACTGTTGTCTAGCTCATCCTTGACAGTCAGTATCTATAATTATCCGCCCTATTAACATTTTCCCTATTTATTGTTTAATTGGGGTTCAATTTGTATTTGAAGTACAGTACACAACAAAGAACTCTAAACAAGCTTTGAAATTTGTATTTAAGTAAAGTATTAATAAATATTTATACCAGTAATGATTGTGAGTTACAAATATCCTTTAAAAGAGTTTTAATTTGACAAAATAATAGTAAATTATATTTAAAAAGTATAATAGTTTTTCAAATCAACATTATAAACGTTTGTTTGGTAATTTATAAATGAAGAAATAAGGATGTAATACCATGTAATGTTTCAGTGTTTCTTTTAATGCCTATTTCTCTACAAAAACCTTGAATTAATTGAAGGTATTGCGAAAGACAAAAAAAAGAGGAGATTCTTTCAGGCCTTAAAAGGACATATCCAAGAGCGTCTACGCAGGCAGGGAGCGTTAGAGAATAGTCCATTTATTCCTCCGGGTGTGTTATGGTACACCATGTCTCTTAATACGCATGATCTATAAATAATTATGTCACAATACAAACTAAATGTCATAATTGTAATAATTTTTATACAAATATAAAATTAACCTTTTCTTGAAAAAAAATTAACAAGTGGAAATAGTTGAATATTCAGCGCATCCACCCCTATTTTACGAAGTTGGTTTGCTCCGGTGTTTTGCACGGAACCTATAACACCACCAGGAAGTGAAGGGCGGTGGTTGAGGAACGAAGAGGGTTATTAGCCAAAAAACAACTTGTTTTGTGAGGTAAGACATTATTATAACCATATTATCTTTGTTATTTAACTTCATTAAAAATATTAATGTATATATAAAACTTCGTCGAGCTCGCTATTTCAGATTTATAAGTAAAAACATGCGCACCGTTTTCAGTGCCTTGAAAAACAGTTAGCTAATCGGCTAATCTGTCGGTCACTTTTTTTTAAATTGTTTTATTTATTTATATCAATCGAGTACTGTGCTTCCTACTTATAAGTTATTTTTTCCACTTCGTGTCTGTGTTATATTTGTCTCACTGAGTGCTACTTTCTGTTCATCGTTTGTTGTTCCAGATAGGCCGCAAACCACAACAGGCTAACAGGTTTTTCAAACAGTAATTGTTTAGCAAAGGGCGTAGCGCTGGTAAATGTTGAGTTTCTGTTGTACAGGTATTTACAGACTACGACCTGGTTAACGTGCTTTACAAGAAGGATACTAGGTGTAGAAATGTATGTATTGCTTCTGTTTAAATTAGGTATGTAATATGACAAAAAGTACAGGAAGCTGAAGTCTAGATTGTTGGATCAATATTTTGTGTAAAGCATTTGAGCTATCTGAATCCTCTCAAACTCGAGTGTCAGCATGATGTCTACTTTCTGAACATTTCCAGATAAGGGCATCTGTCCTCAGATCAGTAATTTGCCTCTTTGGTGAAGGCGATGAGCTGACCAACCTAGAAAAAGTTGAGGAACATTTCCATTTTTAGCTGTGAGACACCGCTCTGGGGATTTGGAGTAAATTACGCTGCCACAAAATCTATGAGCTACAGCATGATCTAGTTTATATTTAATTATTGCCTTCTTTTAAGGGCATCTGCATTTTAAAATCATGTTTTGTTCCTCGTGTATGGTGATATTAATAAAATTGTGTGTGCATAAAGTAATGTAATAAGTTGCTTTTCTCATCTATCCACAAAAATGTTCACTTCAATTCCTGAAACCCTGCATTTACAGTGGGTGTCTTTCAAATACTTATTTGTAGGATGACCTAGATGGAGCTTTGATGATCAGTTTGAGAACATTGTCATTAATTTATGTAATTAAATTTTTTTTTATTGTCATTTATAAATGTAAAAGTTGGTAGCACTGCTAATTAGAAATCAGTAACTTAGTCACAAATAATGCTTAAATGTTTGCCTTTCAGACTGTGCTCCATCGTCACCTTGTTCTTTGGCACCAGACTGAATGACATGTTTCTCGTTTTTACTTCCATAGAAATAAAACCTTCACAATGTCTAGCAAAAGGGCTAAGGGAAAGACCACAAAGAAGCGCCCTCAGCGCGCCACGTCCAATGTCTTTGCCATGTTTGACCAGTCCCAAATTCAGGAGTTCAAGGAGGCCTTCAACATGATCGATCAGAACCGTGATGGGTTTGTCGACAAAGAGGACCTTCACGACATGCTTGCCTCATTGGGTGAGTAAAGCTCTTTTATGAAGTGGTTAAAAACTTGTCTAGCTTTTTGGGTGGAATGGGAATATGTTCATGTGTCAAATAACAGTGGTTTGTCAGCTCTGGTTGCCATTAAAACAAATCCAACATTTGGATGCAGATGGTAATTGTTATTAGCAGGAGTGTTCACACCTCAGGTGTTCTTTTACAGTAGATGATTGGATGAGAGATGAGACGAGCTCACTAGTCACAGCAGTTTATACAGAGGCAGAAAACTGACAGCATCAACAAATGCCTTTGTTGGAAAGCAGTCCAAACATGGTTGTGTTGACATTTCACCTCAGCCTAAGATTAAATAAACTCAAATGTCTCAGTGTCACAAGTTTGAGAAATTGATCCAAATGGCTGGTTGGGTCGAGCGTAACTGTTGTAGCTCCATTTCTGGGTTTGTACCTCTCAGCACAGAGTGCATGCATCCAGCTACTGGCAATGAGAGAGGATTTTATTGGCATTGCTTGACTGGACTCCTACATTAAAACAGTTTTTAAAATCACAACGTTTGTTGTAATAAAAAAAGTATGGATGGCATCAGAATTTTGTATGAACAGATTTCATTTTCTATCATTTGTTACCGTCATTTTGCAATATAGCGGCTGTAACTGAAGCTCTACGTTTGAAATGGAACTTCTGGCTTCTCTGGATATTGGTGTAATAAAACTAGTTTAAAGTACTGAATCAAGTGGAAAAGTTCTGCAGGCAGATAAAACATGCAGACGGCATAAAGTGCTTCATGCAAAATGTCTCCTAAAGATCAGTTCATATTAAATAGTTCCCTTAAATGAGCTTTCTTTTTAAGGGAAAAATCCTAGTGACGACTACCTGGAGACCATGATGACGGAGGCTCCTGGGCCAATCAACTTCACCATGTTCCTGACCATGTTTGGAGAGAAGCTCAATGGCACAGACCCTGAGGATGTGATAAGAAATGCATTTGCTTGCTTCGATGAGGAGGGGACAGGTAAATTTGGATTAACATGTAAACCTACCTTCCAACATGTCAGATCAGTTCAGATCCTGGCTGTGTACAGAAGAGCCTCAAAGTAAAGTGTTTATTCTAGGTTTTAATGCTTATTTACATTGTGTAATTCTTAACTCTGTCCAAAACACTTTAAATTGACACAAACGGTAAAACTAAGTTTACTTCAAACCTTTTCTGTTTTGTGTATTGTTTCCTCAATGACAGAATTGTTTAATGCAAATGAAAACATTTTGTTTTTCTGTTTTTTTTTTTTTTTTTATCTGACCTTAAATGTAGGTTTCATTCAGGAGGATTATCTCAGAGAGCTGCTCACAACAATGGGTGACCGGTTTACAGACGAGGAAGTAGACGAGCTCTTCAGGGAAGCCCCCATTGACAAGAAGAGTAACTTCAACTACGTGGAGTTCACTCGCATCCTAAAGCACGGTGCCAAGGATAAGGATGATTAAACACAACTTGCACAATGCTGCGGCCCCCCACCACCACCACCTCCTTCACTCAGCTAGATCACCGTGCTGCATGTTTCAGCTTTCCTGAAAAGACCCGATTCTGAACAAACCAAAGCAATAAATATTCACTTTTGCTGTGAACTTTGAGTTTTTAAAATCTCGTAAAAATATAAAGTGGCAGGATTTTAGAAGCTTCGAGGGAGGGATATGACTTTGCAGTTCGTGCGATCGTGTTTAGCTAAATTTTTACATTTTATATTATAAACTTTTGAAATAAATCACACTGTCTGTATTTTGCTGACAGTTTACCTCCCATAAACGACACGTGTAACAAAAGTTGCATTATGCTGTCTTTTTTTTTCTGGTGTCAAACATATTTTTGTACATTAACTTTTCTCTGGAGTTCGTCTTGGCTCCGCTGGATTCATTCATGTTCTGACTTGCTGTCTGGTAAATGGTGGTTGAGATAGAACATACTTTACATCTCTTTCATTTCATCTTAGATAAACATGCAAATGCCTTTTGAGCTGTGGAGTTATGTCTGAAGCTTCAGTAAAGTTTTTTTTTTTTTTTATCTAACGGATGTGTAGACATTGTAATTAAAGGCAAAAACGACCAAAGCAATGACCACATTCAGTTCCAGTTTATTGCAGTCACAACTCTTTCAGCTTTATTTTTACGTAGGCACAGTTTAGAAAAGTCTTTTCCACAATACTTCAAAACATTTAGTACGTTCACACACGGCAACACTACAAATGTGCAAAATGACGATTTTTAAATTATAAAAACTAGTCAACGGTTTGTCGCACTTGTCAATCGTTATGCAAATGTGCAAAATCCAAAGTACTTCGCGTTTTTCATGATTACCACATATGTAATCGAGTCAATCAACATGGAAGTTGGTAGTAAATATATTCCTGTAAGACAGGCAAACACTTAAAAAGGTGTAGCATTCCTTCAAATATCAATTTCTGTCAAATTGCCCAACTTGCATCCAATTTTGTGCCAGGTGGTTATAAACTATGGCCTGTGTGTATGCTTTGTTTCTCACAGAAGTAACTTCCTTTGTCATCCTCACTTCTTTCATTAGGTGAGAACAGGTGAACTCCCCAGCTGCCACCAAAGTGCTTATATACATATGTTGTGCACTTTTAATTAAGCGTGTATGTTTTGCACACTTGGGGGATGTGTAATCACTTGATTCATAGGGATGGTCTTTTGAAAAAAGCGTTGTTTTGAAAGGGCAAGATGGGATTTTTTTCTTTTCTTCTAAAATAGATAAATGTGTTTAACCTAACATGGATGTTTTTTTTGGGGGAAAAAAATAAATTACGTAATCATATCTACCGTATTTGGTCAATTTAGATCTAGTTATGCAGCGTTTGGATGACTGCATTATAGAGTGAAGATTGCGTTGTATCGCCCCCTAGTGTTTAAAAATAAAGTATCTTCAGTGTCTTCAAAATATATAGGGATTTCATATTATGCACGATTGTCAAATTGGCTACTTGGTATGCAGACTACTGATGCTCATTTTTATAAAATACTAAATTGTATGTTTTTTTTGTTTTTTTTTTGTTGGTTTTTTTGCTATCGTCTCAAGTTTAGGTTTCTGGGAAAATTGGATCGCGTTTGAAAAAAAAAAATTTTTCCGAGGTGACTTGAACGCCACACACGCCTACAACAACATTGTTAGCATTTTGCTGCCAAGTGCTGCTTTGACCCTGCAGCAGTCAGAAGGTACAAGTAAATGGGAATTTCATGTTTTTAATTTAGATCTAGACTTTTTTTTTATGTTTTTTAGTAAAAATGTCCGTCCTACATGCCTATAACGGCAACATGACTTTTAAGATAGGAAGTTGTCAGCTAAATTAGCTAATGTAGAGAAGCTACTAGCTTAGCTACAGCAGCCGTCAAAATGAGTTGAGACTAGTAGCGGTAGAGCATTGGAGCCCTCTCTGTGCTGCTCCTTGTATTTATTCTCTTTGCTCATAAACAGTTTACATGTCTGTTTAAAGTTAACTAAGCTTAAAGCTAACTTCTTGTGTTTTAGCTGGAACCGAGAAGTCCTGGACCAGCATGGCTCTGAAACTATTTCAGAGGTTTCCTCTGCTTGGCCAGTTCAGGATTCGTTATGTTGGACCTTTTTGTCCCATGAGACTCGTCACCAGCAGTCCGGGCCACTCCTCGTGTGTGGCTTGCCTGTGCACTTCAGCCAGACGGTGTATCCAGAGACACGGCTGCAGGAAGCTCCAACAGGACTGCGGAGCCATTCAGAACACAATAAGGGAACCCTCGATCTTCCCCAGCAGCTCTGTAGGACTCCACGGATACTCAGCCCCTCGGTTCTGTTTGACCCAGCTGCACCAGCCCTCAGCTGCTGATGAGCAGGGTTTCCAGCAGGGTCTGCAGGCATGTTCCTCCTCGAGGCAGGTCTTCAAACTGCTGGGCTCAGTGGAGATCATATCAGACACCATGGCTGTTGCAGCTCTTCACCGTGTAGCCGACATGGAGCAGGCTGGCACTGCTCTGAGAGATCCAACAGTGCTGGAAAACGACACTATCCGTGCCTTGTGCTTCCAGTTAGAGCAGGACACTGAGAGGCTCACTGACGCTGGGTTGGTGTCAGCTCTTTTAGCCTGCACACGCCTCTTCTTGGATCCATGGAGCACACTAATAATGCGGCTGGTGTCAGAAAGCCAGGACCGGTTGGACAGGGGGCTGATGACTGTTGGACAGCTGTGCACCCTGGGCCAGGTGATGCTGGCCATGGAAGGTCCAGGCTCTTCGGTGCTGGAGCAGGCGATAAAGCAAATTCAGAAGCAGGAGCCTGCCCAGTGGAGTCTTCCAGAACTTGTTTCTGTTTATAAGCTTTTGCAAGGCTGTGTGGGTGAAGAAGGAAAATACAGAGACTTATTGAACGCCATGCACGCCCACGCTGTAACAGTCACCTCCCGAATGGATCCCTCTGCTGTCAGTGGGATAGTAAGTTCTCTCATTACCCTGAATCAGATTCAAGCCGTGCCTCTTGTAATCGGTTTGTGTAAGCAAGCTGTTCGACATGTACCTCACTTCAGCGATCAGGAGCTCACCCATGTCCTGGGTGCGCTAATTCATTTTGGTCAAAGTGATCATTACTTTGTGGATGCGTTGGAGAAGCATGTACCTACAGTGGCCTTCACCTCTCATCCGGAGACAGTATCTAAGGTGGCGCAGTTCTTTGGCCACAGGAACATCCTGTCCCCTGCTGTCTTCGACGCTGTTGCTGAGAGCTTTATGAACCGAGCAGACAGCTACAGCACCAGCCAAATAACCAGGCAGATTGCAGCTTTTGGGAAGCTGGGTTACCTCCCACCCAATGCAAGCCAGTTGTTCGGGAAAGTGGAAACCATCCTGCACACTCGTTTTTCACAATTTCAGCCGGAAACGCTGCTCAACTTGCTGCACGCTTGCACCCTTGTGGGAAGGTTCCCTGTCAATTTTTTATCCAAAGTTTTTGTGAGTTATTTCCTGCTGCAAATTCAAGGTGAAACACTTCGTCACTCACACAGTGTCTTTATGATGCCATGCAAAAACAATTTTTAAAATGTATTTTGCCGCAGGTCAGGATACAGTAATTAAAGAGGCTGTTCTGGCACAGTTAACTCAGCTCTACATGACGGTGAAGTTGGAATGTCCCTTTTATGAGGTAATTGAAGGGTTGAATACTTTATGACAAAAGAACCATGTCTGAAACCTGAATACACACCTTGTGGTTTAAAGTCATTGGTGTGTGATGTCCTTTTCGCTTGAGGGGTTTAAAACATGCATTTTTTTTTTCTTAGTGTGCTTTTGTTTTTAATAATTCACAGAATACAGCTGTTGACTTGCGGATTTTATTCATGTTATTTCATATGGAATCGCAAATTTAGGGTTTATGCCGTTAATATCTAAGAACTACTGTCATTTGGCTTTTTCAGCTGTAGTTTCAAAACGGCATATCTTTAAGTTCATACTTTTTAAAGTGTTGCACTGATACAAGTTTAACTAGTGACTGATAGAAATCTTTTATTCTCTATGTTGTGCTTTGTGTTCTTCCCCTTCCATCAGGGTCCACACTTTCTTCCAAAGTATCGTGTCAAATCTTTCCTTACATCTGGTCACTCTCTGGAGACACCAGTCAATCCACATCTGTACAACTCTGTCAAAGCAGGACTGGTGGATTTACTCAGGGATCCTTCATACTTTGGATCCAAAGTTCTGACGCCATACTGTTATACAATCGGTATCACGTCCTTGTTGTTTCTCATCTCGCCTAAAGTCAGTCAAGTTTATCTTTGTGGGTTCTAACGTGTAATTGTTGTCGTAGATGTGGAGATAAAACTTGATGAAGAGGGATTTATTTTGCCTGCCTGTCAAACTGATGATGTGTACAAAAGGTAAGCTTTAACTTGTTACACAGGATCTAGAGGTAAATAAGTGTAAGGGCATCAATCACCGATTTGTTGCAGGATGGCTCTTTGTATTGACGGACAAAAGAGGTTCACTACAAACGTCACGCAGCTTCTTGGAAAAGAGGCCATCAAGCAGCGACACCTGCGACTGCTGGGATATGAAGTTGTGCAGGTTAGACTCTAACCATCACCAATATCATACCATCTCCAGTAAGGTTTAATGTGTAGTTTAGATGGCTAAATCTTGACCTGAAAATATCAGTGCTGTCTTATCAGTCTTTTTAAAGACATCTAATATTTTTGCTTTTTTTTAATTTTATAGATTCCTTTCTATGAATTTGAAAAACTGCACAACAAGACCAGTGTGGAAATGTATCTACACCAAAAGATCTTCCCTCACACCTACAGGCTCAGCTGGTGATGAGAAAAATGAAGTTCGGGTTCTTATCGTGTAATAAAATAAATATTTATTTTTTAGCAAATGATCGTGAAGTTATTGATTCTGAACTGCAACAAGTTTAACTCAAAGTGGCCTTTTAGACAAGTTTTGAAGGACTTTATTATCACACAGTTATGCATCGTTTGAAAAATATAATTTATTGTTTACTGTTTCAGAAACTGTACAAAGTTAAAAGGACCCAGATTTCAACCACCGTTCAAGCTGAGAACTTCAGCAAAAGAAAAACAATCTTTGAGTTGAGTGGCCTGATTTAACATTTTATCATTCATTGGGCAGAAGATGCTTTGGTTTTCATGGCTGCACTTAGAGGCCAGGAGTGTCAGTTGGAGCAATACAAAAAAAAAGGCTATGATACATGTAAAACTAACGGGTAAAATGATCCTTATGTAGCAGGAATTTGAGGAAGGCCAAACTCATCCACCAGGACCCCATCCTGAAACAAGAATCATTTAAATGATGATTTGAACAGATGTGTTGAGACCGATTAGAAAACTTTGAAATCTTATATACCCGGTTGGTTGACTTGTCACCAGGCACGCCCTCCGGGATGGAGGGAGCAGTCGCAGCCTCATCCAGGTAGGAGCTGTCATCATCCAGGAGGAGCTCGTCTCCCAGGGCGTCCAGCTCTGAGGACACAACAGATGACAGAAAGTTTTAGCCATTTTTTCCACCATTCACATGAAGTCCTATAATGTTCATGTAGACAGGAGTTCTGTACTAGAGTGGTGTAAAATCAAGTCCACAAATTAGAAATGTAATCCAAGATCATGTTGAGACCAAGCACAGTTTGTTTTATCACCTGCTTCCAAGTCGTCGTCATCAATTTCTGGAGTGCCGTAGCTCCTGCTGAGGGCCTCCTGGATCTCATTGGCATCTTCCATCATGTCCTCAAGCTGATCGTGCATGTCCTTAAAAAAAAAAAAGATGGAAAACAAAATTTCACTTTGCCTTTTATGATTTTTTTTTTTTTAAATCACTACATTTTATTAAGTAAACTTATTTAAAAAAATATAAAAAGGAAAAACCTCAATCTTATCAATTTTCACATTCTTGTACGCTTTCTTCATGTCTTTGAGGCCGACTTTCATGGCATCAACCTGCGAACATAAAGAGTTAACTCAGACTTTATTTGTCAGTTGCTCGATCCACGGTGTTGCATCTCTTACTGTGGTTTTAGTGTCCTTGAGGTTTTGGATTGTGTAGTTCGCTTGTTCCATGTTGAAAGACTGCTGCATGAGATTATCTCTCTGACCCTCATACCTGGAAAGTTGGTGAAAACAAAAAGGTTCAGGAAAACAGGTCATGAGTTTGATTAAATAACTAAATCAAACCAATATAAAACCACTTACATTCTTTTCTGCTTCAGAACTCTCATTGCCTTTTGCTTCACCATGTTCTAGAGAAGAGTCCCATTAATTTTCATCACTAGTTACAATTGTTTAATATTAATCATAATCAAACTACATAATTAAATTAATACCAATTATGTATGCATAACTAAATTAAAAAAAAATAACTACAAAAGGATCAGTGGCACTTCTTTGCATGAAATTCCTTCATCTGCCATTCATAACCAAATCATAGACGACTATGCATTTAATATTTGGTCAGGTTTGTAGACAGACTTGCTCATATTTCCCACAATTAGATGTAAAAAACGTTATTTTCATGTGCAGGTGCAAAAAGCTTCTGGAGCGTGTCATCGATTTAGGCAAGTAAATATGAGTTTTGATTGATCCAAAAAAAGAAAATACAGGTATTTTTGTCGTAACATCTTAGAAAAGGTCTCACCTTCGAGGGCCCATCTCTCATCTTTTTCATTTGATCTTTGTATTTGACAAGTTCAAGATCTAGTCTGGCGATTTTCTTGTCAATGGACTCCGCCCGAGAATCAACCTGCAAACAAAAAAAACAAGACATTAATGTGGAGATGATTATTTTACCTGAAACACTGTCATGCACGTGTAAAGAGCCAGTATCCAGGTCATTATTAGGGAGCTAAACATGCTTGGCTATATTGCTTTCCACTTCCGCTTCTGTCAGTCAGAGCTCTGCGCAGACGCAACAAACCAGAACAACCGGTTTAGTTCCCACAAAATAAGACATTTTACTTCTATTTAGTGGTCGAAGTGCAGGAATTGTTACATCACGTTACGCCGAGTCATTGCCCGAACACAATCAGGGACATTTGTGTTCAAATCTTATTTATCAACTAACCCCGAATACATGAATGTATACAACATTTTCCGCGATAAAATAGCTTACTTGTTTCTTAATGAAAAGAATACAAAGACACCACAGTGTGACAAATCCAGAGTTAAATGTGTCACGCTGTGGTTAGTTTTCTCTGTGTGAGTTTGGCTAGCAGTTAGCCAGGATCCGTGTTTTGTTTACTTGTTCAACACCGAAAAAGGTCGAGTCAAAATAAAACTTACGCTTCCTATGCAGTCCGTCAGGTTCGGTGGTGGACCTTTGGCTTTACTTTGGCCGAAAATACGATTCATCTCGGCGAAACTAGGGCTTAAAATGCCAAAGAAAAGCTACGTTAGTTGACTGTTACACAGCCCGCAGTTAAGATGAAGGAAACACCCGGAAAAGCCTGTGATGACGTCAGGAACATCACATGATCGTTGCTCATTTAAGCCACGCCCTTTCCAACACCCTTTTCTTATTTTTCTCCCTTTAAAAATCTTTATTTTTTTTTACTTTGCTTCGTTTTGAATCTGAATTATTTTTATCACACTATTTCTTTATCATATTCCCATTGAGTCACGGGGACTCATTTACAAGAGAGACCTGTTTTTAACAAAGGATAACAACAGTAGGCAAAAAAAAAAAAGAAGTAGACAATCATAAAAATGCATATAAATTGAGAGAAATAAATGAAATAAAATGATATAAAAAAAGAAAGAAAAACAGCTAGATTGTAAAGCGGTGTAGAAAACTACAAACAGGAACATGTCTGCATTGGTTTCTGCCAGGAACTTAACAGATGTTTGAAGCCACTTAGAGAGGTCAAGGTTGAGAGCTTCAGATCTTCTTAATGTAATGCAATGTTGCTTTGATTGATTGATTTTCATTGTTAAGCACTTTGGAAAAAAAGCTGCTGTTTTCAAATGTGCTTTATAAATAAATTTGACTTGATCCGACTTGGTTTCAGGTGCTTCCAGAACCTTTTGTACCAAAATCACCACATGAATTCTCACAATTATGTCACTTAATTTCTGACATGATCTTATTTTGTAAAGATTTGTACAGCTGCAACCATTTGCCTTTTGAGCCAAAGATCATGTTTTTACGCCAGGTGTCCTCCCAAGCACAGACCACCGAGCTACCACAGCCCTCTGTGTGGAGTAGATGGCAGTTAAGGGCCTTGCTCAGGGGCTCAGAGTGGGGTAAATGAGGGTGGAGGCAGATGTGGGTGCTTCACCTATCACACTCACATTTTGATTTTGACGGTTCGGGGAGTTGAACCAGCAACCTTCCTATAACAGGCTTGCCTTCTCTAACCTCTGCGCCACCACTCCCCCTTGAGCTAAATATATTAATGATGCAATTCTCGATAAAATAAAATAGACAAAGCACAAAAGAATGAAGACCGCTGACTGAATGCTTTATTTTATTCGCTAGTGTTTATAAATTTGTGTTTCATCAAACTGCTGACATGGTGCACAAAAAAGCTGCAGAATGTAAATTTTTACTTCACAATCAATATAAAATTCACAGGATGTCTGACAATAAAATGCAAAATAAAAACAAAAAAACTGTTCAATGTAAAACTTGTTCCTCGTTAGTTTTTGTGAATATGAATCCCACGGTAGAAAAATGAACCACGACAATAATTGGGGTCACAATTAATTTCAAAAGTTTAAGTTAACAGCTTTTCAGTCTGTGGCCACTATTTGTAAAACTTAAAGTTGAAAAATTAATAAAAAATTAGCAGTAAAGTTGTGGGATTATTTGTTGTTTTTAATGCACTAATACTGCCGTCATAAATGTGGCTGGCATTTCAATAATTATAAAAATTCAATGCAACATATTTCAATCATTACACTTTCAGTCCTGTTGGTGGAGCAGCTGGCTTACATTTCCTCTAACGCTCACATTCATTATTCCCAAAAGGTTGGCTGAAATAAACCACTATGAATAAAATGCTTTTGGTTTTCCAAATGGAATATTAAATAATTATTAAGAGGTGAAAAAGCAGAATCATAGAGGAGATTGCTGATTATTCAACCACATGAGTTTGAAATCTAACAACAATATGAGCTTGTCACTTCAAGAAGAAAGCACAAGTGGAGATTTATTAAAAACTTGATTCAATATTAAGAAAATCACAGACAGGATCAGTACATGAACGACAGCAGACAACGTTCAACAGATCCAAAGAGAGCACAGAAAAGATAGAAACAGAATGCATCAGTCACAGTGTAGAACAATGTCCCTGTTTAACGTCACAGAGCAGCTTTCTTTACTGTTCTGCAACCAGAGAATTAAAAGCAAAAACTTTACTTAACATTTCCAAATGAGATGAGTGCGTCTTTGCACATTTTACGTAAATGTTTGCAGAGCATTCAGAACGACAGCACAGTGCATAAAGCATGTTTGGTTTCTTATGATTCACAGCAACAATGATTTATACATGCTATAGCTACAGCCTATTTAAAATATGCTTATGCAAAGATATATATTTTTCACATTATTTATAAAATAGTCTTTCATACACGTACTGTACAGGTGTTATATACTACAGGTGCACAACTTGTTCAAACTGTTGTTTATGAGATTGCAAAGCGATAACATGAGAAAAATATGTTTTATCACTGTAAAAGCCATAAACAGCATACAAAGTTAATTAATTACATATATTGGACAAATGATCAGTTTGGACACAACTCATGAGTCAAAACCAAGAAGAGAGCCCTCTGACAAATTTTAAATGCACATTTAAATCCAGGATTTCATCCTTTTACCGTTTCTTTTTGACACGAGTGTCGTGACGCAGCTGAGCGCGTTGCCTATTTTTAACCTTCCACTGACTCTTGCACAACTTCAAAGTCCACCGTGAGTCAGTTTTCCTCACACTGAGACCAATCAGCACCATTCACACTCTCCACAGAGGCGAAAAGGCTTTTGGCACATGCCTGTTACCAGTGTTTCATGCAGCCAACACAGACATGTCAAACTGAGGGAGACGCAACAAACACACCTGTTTTATGCAACTCCTGCTGCCATCCTGGACTGTTAAAGGCACTTTTGGCAAATATTAAATTTATAGAAGGAAATAAATGATAAACAAGACACCCGTCCGTTTCAGTAAACTATAATTTTCCTTAAATTCATTAACATTCAGAGCTCCTGTTTGATACAAATAATATTTAAGAGATTTTTACCTTTTGCCTCACAGCAAGAAGGTTCTGGGTTCAAGCCCTGGGTTGGTTCTGGGGCATTTCTGTGTGGACTTTGCATGTTCTTCTAGTATTTGTGTGGGTTTACTTCAGGTACTCCAGTTTCCTCCCACTGTCCAAAAACATGCATACCTTGAAAACAATATCTGTGATCTCAGTAGGGTTTACCTGGCTACAGAAAGGTTCATAGATGGCTTAGTTCCACCATGGAAGAGATCAGGTGGGAAGTGAAGAGCTGCCACTCACTCGTGCGGTGGCTGAAGAGCATTGAGACTTAGCACTAGCTTGAAACACAAGCAGCCACAAAAACTAAAACAAAAAAAGCATAAAATTTGTGTACGCAACGGTGCTAACAAAACTATTGTTTGCTTTATCTCTGGCCTAAAGAATGACAGCAAACACCAAATATCATCTTGATGGTGTTTTGAAGGCCAGACACTGCAGACAATTAGTAATGTAGCAGTTAAAAACTCTATACCACTGGTTTAAAAGTAAACTTGTGACTTGCAGGGCTGTAGCAGTTTATTAATTTACCGTATTTTTCGGACTATAAGATGCACTTAAAATCCTTTAATTTAGTCAAAAATCGACAGTAAGCCTTATAATCAGGTGCGCCTTCCGGTTGTGCTTACTGACCTCGAACCAATTTTATATGATTATTGTGAATGAGTTGAATAAAGTTCGACTTATCTGACCTTTTAGTTTTGCTTAATGCGCCTTATAGTCCGAAAAATAGGGCATACTATGTGGCAATCTCTCAGGCAGTTAATTATTATAGAGTGATTCATAGTTTCAGCATTGTTGTTGCTTGAAACTTACCAAGGAAATTCTGTTATGATAAAAGGTCCTCTACGGTATTTTGCTTGTGGTCCCACATCCTTATGTAAAGCTTAATAAAATGTCACTTTGCTTGTACTGTTAGAGGGTAGCCTATTGTATGATAGTAATTAATTTGACAAGCAGCAATGTTAAATATTGCCCCCAGCTTCCCCAGAAATGGTCTTCCTGCTTGCCTGAACAAGCAAAGTCATTGATAAAGTGATCTTTTTTAAATATTTAGTTGAAAATGTATCCAAATCATTTATCAAGTTGCCATGTCATTAGTAAGCAGCACGTTCTTCAGAACAGACGTTAGAAAATAGATACTATTAGAGTTAACTTGGACCAAATTTGGTCTATTTTACACCAAGCTGTCTCCTTGAGCGCAGATCCACCTTCGAACTCAAATATCAACTACAAAAGTTAAACGCCATGAAGGATGAAGTGAGGTTTCTTCTGGGAACCTTTAAGGAAAAGATGAACGATGGTTCTCATCAGTTGGCACTGTTTAAACTGGCAATAATACAAATGTGAGGTGGATCAACTTTCACAACAGTCTACATCGCTGAATTGATGTGCGTTAAGCCCAAGTCATGGGAGTCTTCTTTACCAATGTGGGAAATTGAAGACAGTTCCACTGCTAGTCATGTTGGCTTGCTAGTCCCATCTGGGTTCTCCAGGGGAACAGAGGCCACCCGAACAGCGTTGGGGACCTTCTTGCTCCCTGACACCTTGTCTCCTTTCAGTTTGGCTGAGAGGCAGAAGTCTTTGAAGCAGCGTTTGAAATTCTCATCCAGAAAGGCGTAAAGGACAGGATTGAGGCTGCTGTTGGTGTAGCCCAGAGCCACGCAGAAGAAGTATGCGGCCATGATGGCGGTGGTTTCAGGCACGCTCACCAGCGCTTTGACCAGGATGAAGATATGAATGGGCGTCCAGCAGACCACGAACACGGCCACAACGACCACCACCAGCCGAGTGATGCGCCGCAGGTTGCGGTCCTTCTCTCGTGAGCCAGACAACATGCGGACGCTCTTCAGCCTCAGGACCATGAGGGAGTAGCACACGGTGATGATGAGCACGGGCACAACGAAGGCAAACACGAACACACAGATCTTCATCATCGTATCCCAGTAGCCATACGGTTCTGGGAACTGTAAGGCACATTCAGTTATGTCTGCAGAGGGAAAGGTGGAAAACGTAATTAAATAACAAAGATGACTTTTTCTTCCTCATAAAAAAAAAATCTACCTTGCATCTTTCTAATATAAATTTACCAAGCTGTTATAAAAAACTAATCTGCAGTCAGATGGGAACATCTTGCTCTTATTCGTGACTCCATTTATTTTGGTATTAATGGTCCTTGTGAGCCACTAATGGAAAATTATTCTCTGACTGATGAAATACGTTTCTGCTTCTAAAGTCTAGATTTGCACTTGGGTACAATGAAACTAAGACCGTTCACTCAGGTATGGGGGAAGTTCTTGCTCACCGCTGTTTGTCTGCGTGCCGCCCAGAACAAAAGCAGGAATCCCTGCCACCGAAGACAAGATCCAGATGCAGACGTTGATCATCTTGGCTTTGATGGGTGTGCGGAAATCCAGGGCTTTTACCGGGTGGCACACCGCCACGTATCGGTCCACGCTCATCATGGTGAGCGTGAAGATACTGGTGAACATGTTGTAGTAGTCGATGGAGATGAAGACCTTGCACACCACTTCCCCAAAGGGCCAGGTATTAAGAAGGTAGTCTGTGCTCTGGAAGGGCATGGTGGTGGTGACCAGGGCGTCAGCGAGTGCTAGGTTGAAGATATAAATATTGGTGGCTGTCTTCATCTTTGTGTACCTGTTAACATGCAGAATACAAGGCCATATTGTTGAGTCCCCAGCTTATCATCCACCCAGACTGCCTCAGCTGCTCCTGTATCTGAAGACCTTTCCTCCCAGCTCATTATGATAAAACCAGTGTGCATTATCACAAAACTTCCTGTCTGACTCACCCTTCATTGTCATGTATTGTATGCTGCTCAGTGCTTAGTGCTTCTAATTACCTTGTTTAAACTTCATTAAAATATGATGGCATTTTGAATAAAGTCTGACTTTTGCTAGGTTTAATCATACAGCTCAATTTAAGGTTTTTAAACAAAAGATGTGAGGTGTTCATTTGTCTTTTCTCCTGTAACACCACAGAAAAAAAACAACTTTAACTAAAGATAAAGGTAACTTCTTGTTCGTGGCGCAAACACCAAGTTATCGCCTGGATGATATTTTTCACTTAAATAAAGAATTTTAGACGTTAGGATGCAGATTGTTCAAAAGTGCATCGATTCACTTATACTGTCGGTGTCTGTTCAGAAAAAAAGCTATATGTGCAAAATTATTTTTGCTAAATATTTTGAAATAATTGTAGTAACCCATTTGTTTCCATAGAAACCAAAGGCCAGCAGCATGTAAAATGGAAATCAGACGGTATTTATCACTTAAAGGGGATAGATTAGGAAACGAGTCGCTTAACTTTGAACTTTATCCGACTCAAAAACTCAAAATAAACACAATCCTGTTGTGTTGCTGAAACTGAAAATATCAAATTAAGTGAGAAATATTATATTCTCCAGCTCAGAGTAGAAGAAATCCAGCATCGTCATCTCTCCACTTTAACTTCAAATCGTGCAGCATTCACTGCCTCGTATTTCAAACTTTTATTCTGCTGTTTTTTTCCCACTTTGCTATAAACTGCATGTTTCCATCAGAAGTTATATACTGTATTTCCCTTGTGGTCTCTGCAAGCAGATGTGCAGATAATGCAGCATTACTGTATATCTCCCAGAGACATCCCTTGATTTGTTCATGTAAAAAAAACAGCAGCAAGCCAAGTAAATGACAATTTTAAAGATTTTTCTATTGTTTTGAGCAAACTTTTGTGTTTAAGAAACTAAATCAAGAGGCAGCTGCTATTTTTTAGAAGCAACATGTATAAAAGGTTTTTAAAGTTCATTACAGCAAATATTACTTGTCAAATTTAATTAATGTAAACAAGTAGCGGTTCATGTTCATTGGTGAAATTTCATTATTAAACTGAATTGCTACAAAAACCTATTCTTCCTTCAGCTAAACTATTCTTCCGTACTAAAAACTTATCTTCTCTGCAACCGAGTAGATAAATCTGGCTTCCAACAAGTGAAGCAATCAGTCAGATATGAAGTAATTGTTGTTTGACTGAAAAGTTTTGTGAGGCACGGCTGCATTGCACATGACAAGTGAGATTTGTCACTCTTAGATCCTAAATAATCTCTTATCAGGTTCAGGAGGTTGTCTATTTAATGAAGCACAGCTGGTGCTGGCAGGTGGAAGAGAGAGTCAATAACGTGGTTGATATTTTTGGAGGATTTCAGGCTTCAGTCATAAATTGGACTTTTCAGACTCCCAATAAGACAGAAACAGATGCCATGTTTATTGTGTTCATGTTGAATTAGAATTGACAGCACACATAACCTTTTACCTAAATACTGCCCTGACTTTTTTTAAAAACATTTTTTAGATGAAACCTACTAGTTATAAAATTAACTTTTAGCCGATGGGGGCTGCTGTAGCCGAACGAACAACAACAGCATGTGTTTATTGGATGCATTATCCTGAGTGTAAGTTAGATTTGTGAGAAAAAAACATCCTGCAAAAACAGCAACATCTTCACTAAAGAGTCAAAAAGTCCTCAAGATCTTTTCTTAAAAAAAAAGGGGGATGCTTTTATTTCTTTTTACCAGCCAAAAGCTTCTATTATTACATCTCAACCACAAATAGGCCTATATTAACAATAGGTCAATGCTCAGTTTATGATTTTTATATATTAAAAAAATAGTAATAAATAGGACCTCACCTGATGATGACATACATGACAAGGCTGTTGCCCAACAAGCCCACCACAAACACCACGGAGTACACGGCGGTGATGATGGGGATGATGGGAGACATGCTTTCCTGCGCCCAGCCTTCATCATCATCGTGGCTCACATTGCGGCTGTCAGGGTCTCCGGACACCCAAACAGAAGAATTCACCAGACAGTCATCCAACAGCGCGGACAGGCACTTATTGTCTTCTTTAAAAATTTCTACTGGAGTGCTCTCCATGGTTTAGGCTGAAAGATGATGGGGAGGAAAGAGCGAATGGATGAGACGCAAACTGTGCGTAAAGGAGCTCTAATGTGTATTTGTTTTTTTGTTTTTTTAAAAAGATGCAAAACATTAATCTGGTCAGGGAGATGCGCAAAATATGCGCGTAATAAACACAAGAAGAGGAAAAAAACTGCAAGCACATTCATGTAATCCCGCTGGTCACTCACCTTTTGTAGCCAGATTTAGCGCGAAAGCCAGGAATATTAAAATAAAAATATAATTCCCCTCTAGTTATAATTCAGCTCTGCTTGTTTTGCTGCCTCAGCTGAAGGTTTCTGCGCGTCAAAGTTTGGCGACGGTTCTGCTGCGCTCCCGGAGAGGAGAAGCGACCGCGGCTTTGCGGACCGTCGTGCACACGCGCGGATGGAGGGGGAAGTGGCGCGCACTCAGGCTAGACCATACCCAACACGCACAACCACACACATTTTCAGCAAATATGACATGGCAGAGCCGTGACAATATAACCAGCAGGCATGGCGCAGAGCTCTCCATCACCACTGAGCAGAAACAGATGATTATTCAGAACTCCCACCAATTTGAGGATTCTGTCTGAAATAATACAAATTAATATTAGCATTGCAGTTAAATAAATGCATCAGCAGTTCTCCAGTCATTTTTAGGGAATGATGGTGAAGGTGCAGAGACATGAAGCCCCCCTCATGCTGGGCTCATAACCTCTTTTTAGGTGAAGAATTCATGAACAAAGAAGAAGAAGGGATGTGATAAATGACCAAGCACCCAACCAGGGAGAAGGTTAACTCATAATTTCACCATCTGTGTCCCTATAAAACAGAAAAGGCGCACCATTTCAGCACTCTCCTCTGTGGATGCGTTACTCAATTAATTATCTAATTTAAATTCTGATACCCCTTCAGAAAAAAAAAAAAAAATCATGCATTTTTAGAAAGTCACAGTTCTGAACCTTAAAACTTAGTATATTTTCCCTCCGTTTTACTTAAGGAATAACAGTAGAAATAGCACTCTCCTGCTTGAAGTAACAGATGTTTTTGGGGAGAAAGGTGAAGCATTTAACAGAGAACTGTCACTTAAAAGCCCCAGAAGAGGTATCGGATGAAGACTGCTGTGAAGAGACCGTGAAAACACCAACACAACTGAACACCCTCTAAAATAAAACGTTAGGCTATTTACCAGCAGGTAGTTGTCAAAGATCATGTTTGAATTTTAAAAATACACAATGATCTACAGCAGGGCTATTCAACTGGTGGTCCGCGGGCCATTTCCGGCCTGGGGGTGACTCCAATCGGGCCCACTTCATAAAAATAATAAAATAATAATTATTATTTTATTTTACTTTTTGAGTTCTGGGTTTGGGTTCTGTTTATTTCATTTATGATTCAATGCAATAAACTAAATAGATTTAAAAGATAAACAGATCATTGTAAACTTTGGTATAAGGATTTTAATCGCTGGATGTCTGGCCCCTGAGCTGTTGGCTTTCAGAAACGGTGCCCCCCTGAGCAGTTTTGTTGAATAGCCCTGATAATCACTTATAAATGAATCCATGGGGCTCAATGGGACTAACCTGTATAAATAAAGGTTGAACGAATTCTGCTTTTGAGACCGAGAACGGTTTAGAATATTGATCCCCAAAGATGGGGTTAGTTTACTAAATGTTGGTCACAAAACACACGTTTTTGGTTCTTCATGTTGTATGATAGGCAGCAAATATAGCTTAAAGTGCTGAATTGGATACACACAAAAAATGTTTTTATTTAAATTATGCACAAAACAAGTGAATTGAAGCTGCAGGGGATCTTGAGATATTGCAATTGAAAAGAGATGAGAATTGATCTGATAACTAGGAACTTGTAATGTATTTCTTCTTTTTTGCAATTGTATGAGGTGATAATAAGGTAATTGCATAGTTTCTAGGTATGACTGGAACAGTATATGAGTTGGAACCAGGAATTGTAAAGTAGTAGAAAGGCCTTCCTTCCGCTTCGTCTAAAGGGAAAAGATAGGAGAAAATGGAAAAATGAGTGGAAGAGTCTGGGACAGGATTCAATAATTGAGAGATATCAATTTAATATAAAAAAATATTGCTTATGTCAAATTTCCACTATAATTGTTACAAAGAAGAAAAATGGAAGCATTATATCTTGATCTGGTTCTGACATATGGCACAGAGAGTAATTTAATGCATCCTCAAAATCTTGCTATGTCTGAAATCTCCTCATTTAATGTTTTTTTGTGTGTAACGTTTGATTATTTATTATGAATGGGGAGACAAGTATTTGTCACTTTTGATTTATGCTAAAAGTTTGGAACTATGGTTTAGGATAGATTTGACTGACAGGAGCTCAGCACCACCTCAATGCGGAGTTTCTCAAGGTTTGATCAAGGACCCTGTTCTGGTTTCATCCTCCGTGTTGTTGTTAGTGTCAGTCTTTTTAATATACAGTATAATATTCTTTTCCATTGCTTTGCAGAGACATTTAGATCTATGTGACTGTAAAAAAACAAATGCACTAGCATTTCTTTGAATCTTTTGAACAGTCTAAATGACAGTGGAGCATGGATTCATTTAGACATCTCTATTCTCGATCGAAAACAAAACAGAAGTCAGTGGATGATCAGATTTAGTCAATAATTCAGAAAGCGTTTTGGGGCCTATGACTCATTTAATCAGTCTTCTCTTAAAAATGACATTGTAAATTTTGACGGTTTTTAAAATGTGAAAAAACAGCATTGGTAAACTTTATATTTATGTATGTATATATATATATATATAAAATTATACATTGATTTCAGTACAAAAAGATGATTGCAGCAGTTTCTGTATTGGAGTAGATCAACCATGTCTTCATCATCTGCTTCAGGTAACATGCTGCTTCTCATCTTTTATCAGGACAACCAGTCTTCACTCCATTACTTTTTTTGTGTGCTCATATTTAATGCTTGTATTTTCAAATTCTATTCCTATCTTGTGTACACAATCTTTCATCTCCTCATGCTTAATTGTGAGCGCTGAGGTTAAACAACCAGATGTTTCAAACACAAATGTTCATGTAATTGCAACTTTTGCAACTGCTGCTTTTATTTTAGGAGCTTTTTCACCTCTCAATAAAATCTTCTAGCACCGAGAGTGTTCATTATGTTGGCTAGTCATAAGAAAAACAAACAAAATTAAAATAAAATAAAAATCCTTGCAGTCAACATTAAATCCTGACATGTCTTTACTGTGAAAAAGAACAAAATTCCTTCATGTATGCAGCCAACTTGCCACTCCAACCCAACTCTCTTTATAGTCAGACAGTAAAAAGAAAGTTGGACTCCATCAATTGAGGAGCATCATTACCTTTATCACTCCTGCTGCTCCCAGGGACCTGCTTCAAGGCTTTTTTGACCACAAAAAACGAGTTTTAGAAGAACTCTATATTCTCACACTAATATCTAAAGTAATAGTGTTGAATAAAATACTACTTTTAATGCAGCTTATAGCACATCTGTGTATATGGAATGGCTTGTTTTGATGGGAGCAGATGAAGCTTTACAGTTTGGACCATTCTCCATCATTGGGTGTTTTTCAATCTTGAATTTGGACTCAGAGATTTTGCCCGAGTGTTCAGTCTTTCTCGAAGCAGAGTTCTTTCATGATGGATTGTGCCGTTATAGTATGAACTCCAATGCCCCTCCTGTCTGATGTATTAAGCCCAGTTTTCTTTTTGGAAGAATCCCCTTCAGTGAGGCAGCCGAAAGAACCTACACTTCTTTGTACCACACTGCTGGCACCGCAGGCTAAAATAAATGCTACGTTGAGGCAATGTTCTCTTTTACTGGAAAGCCTTTCTCAGTTTTTATAGTAAGCTTGATAAGATAACTAGCACAACTTTTAACAAAACAATCTTCACAGATATAGCTGTGAGGGGCATCTAATGAAAATCACAATTACATTTAAGAAGAAATTACAATAAATAAAAAAAATAATAATTTCTTATCGCCCTCCACCTTGCATGCAGGTTTTCAAAAAAAGTTCTCATGCGATCTGTTTGCGTTCAGAGTTTGTGATGTGGATGACTCTCAGCTACTACCACAGCAGATTTAATCTCGAAGTCCGTAAAATTGACTGAGCTATGTTAAGTTTTGTGTTTGCTCAGGTTGATAATCTGTGGCAGCCACCTTGAATCAAGTTGACTCCAAAAACTCTTAATTTGTAAATGGACATTCAGTGAGCACTTTGTGAGAGTTTTTGCAAGAGATATTTTGCTAACAGACAAACATACGTCAGAGGCTTTTACATTATCACTTGCCTCTCATGGCAGTGGGTGGTAATGCTGATTGTATGCAGCTCCAAAACATGAACAATCTTAATTTAAAGTCGAACTGTTTCACGCAAAACCAAAGAAAACAAAAATGTTTGAAGTTGTATCTTTGTCTGTATACATTTTTGTTTTTTAATATTTTGAAGCTTTCTTTTCATTGATTTCACATATGTCAAATAATTGTACAAGTCAAATCATTGATTAAGTTTTGCAAAGTGGCTGATTCTTTACAACAGGAGATTTAAGCCTAAATTGGATTTGATTACTGTGCCAGAGTATTTAAGTACTAAATCTGTAGAGTTAAGAGACGCGGCCACACCAGCTTCACTCCGACCATTACAGATAAAACTACAAAGAGAAAACTTCCCATGTTCTAAGACTCAGGTCTGATGGTTCAGAAGCTGAAGCTGCACATGCTTCAGATGGAGGAAACCACACCAGATCCCTGGAGAACCCATTAGAGAAGACATGCTGCATGAGCCACTATCACTATTTGGATCATTTACAAAGAAAGTGCGACAGTAAATCTACCCCAAATCTGAAGTGCTTATAAAAATATTCACCTCCTTGCATGCCATATGCTTTTATTCCTGTCATAAATCAATCACTGTGGATAAAAAGTGACATGCTTTACAAAAATAAATAAATAAATAAAAGATATTTGTCAATGTCAGA